GTTAAACACTTACCAAGTAATTGTTAACAATGTTCATCCGATGAGGAAATGCCAAGTAGGTTGTTCATCCCATTAAGTATTGTTTATTGATCATATTACTTAAAATTCAAGATTACAAATAAATTGTGCGTAAGTACAATTAATTAAAGTTTCATTTTTGAATTCGTGTAACTAACTATAAGTAAACATAATCAAATAAATGATAAACATTTCACTTTAAATATAAAAATCTAAATATAATTAGGATAATCATTAAGTTATAACAAAATACTTAATTATTATCTTTATAAAAATATTATATTATTAAACCAAAAATATAAAAAATGAATTAAAGAAATTACACAAAAAAAGAGAAATTCTAAATTGTTAATTTGTTACTAATATCAATATATATATTTTTTCAAAATTTTATGATATCTTCATATTTATATTTTATTCAAAAATAAAAACATTATCGTTTTCTCAAAACCACATAAAATCGTATTATAACATCGATTGAGAAAAAAAATAAAATAAAAAGAAAACATTAAAATTTAGATATATCTCGCTACATTACACGAATATAATTTAATAAATTAATTAAGTTTAAATTATAAGTAAATTGATGAAAATCGAAGAGTAGGAAGCAGAATACATTTGATCCAATGTTTTGACTTCCAAGATCCCAATTCCCCGCCCCCATTTTAACGTTAATTTGTTGCTTCAAAATACAAGTTATTTAAATTGCATTGAATTCTTGTAAAAAATTTTACATGACGAATAATCATGTGAGAAAGAGAGTTAATGTGAGATTATGAAAAACGTAAGAAGGGATCTGGACCCTTGATCACCTTTAATCTCAAACTCATCCATAAATTGCATTTAATACAGGGATTGATCTGATGCATCTCATTCTAATATGCATCTAAGGGTGAAGATTTATTCTTATGCTTCTTATCTTAACTTTCATTCGCACAGGAATCCAACCCTGGTTCGCATTAACAGTAATCGTTTTTTTTATCTGATATCAATGTGTATGTTTGAATAAATTTAGTCAGGGAAAGATGAAGATGACGATTACCCGAATTAACGTGTATTTATTGTTAATTAATTAAAAAACTAATCACATTGCTTGTTAAGTAATACATAAATCCCACAACCAATATGATAATATTGGGTAGTCGTGGTATTCATGCATTTATGACACTCGCCACCTTTGCTTCACTTTGTAACTTATACCGTTAAATTTCTAAATATACATATACATACAATATATATATATATATATATATATATATATTATATTATATATATGCCTAATCAAATGAAGACTAGATAGTTTGTGGTAACTGTGAGAACAGACTGGTCTCACGTAAACCCAACCTTACGTGAGATCCATGTGACCACTTATTTTACTTGAAACTTCATAGCCAAACGCTGTGAAGGTAAAAAAAGCCGAACCTTCACTGCAAAAACAATGTAAAGGTTATCACATGTTTTGCTTTGAAGTTTCAATTGTAAAAGAATAATCTCACAAATCTCACGAAAACATGCTAGTCTCACGTGATCCCAAGTCCCCCCTCTTTCTCTCTCTCTCTCTATATATATATATACACACACGCACACGTATACATACACACATAGGATTATATATAATTATATAATATTAAGTTTGAAGGTAACGAATATAAGAATTGTTTAAACTAACATATGAAACGTATTTCCGTCTTTGGAATGCAGTGTCATTCACCTTGCTTTCTGTATCGTTTAATACAACTTTCCACTATTATAATTTATTAACTATTTAATTAATTTAATTTCATAAAACTTTAATAATATACGTTTGATTAAAACCGACAGTTACGGACAATACTGCGTTTGATACATTGAACAAGACAGAACGTGGATCACTGTTTCACGTTTGACATTACTTTTATGTGTAACAAAATTAAAACAGATATGTTCGACTCTTAACTCATGGAATAAGGTGGAACAAACCTATATTTATTAATATACCCTCAAAATAAACTAATTTAAGATATCAAATATGTCTCCATTTTTTTTACATTTTATCCACTTTTTATATTTTATTTATTGTATTTTATATTTTTTAAACTTTTCGATTTACTGTTCTCAAAATATTATCTTATATACGTTTTTTATATTTTGGTTAATTTATGTAATTTATTAAATATTAATGATAAAAATTATATAAAATAAAAATTGGAAGGTCATTTTAATTGTCTTGACAACTTTCTGATGATATATTTTTGTTATAAAAAATATTTATTTTATTTTAATTTAATAAATTTCATTAATCTATACTATATTATAAAACATTTGATAAAAATTCTTAAAAACTATTTTTTATGCATGAAGTATTGTTTATTGATACATATTACTTAAAATTCAGGATTACAAGTAAATTGTGCATAAGTACAACTTATTAAACCTTCATTTTTGAATTCGTGTAACTAAATGCAGATAAACATAATCATATATATGATAAACAACACATTTTAAATCTAAAAAATCTAAAATATAATTAGGATAATAATTGAGTTTAATAGAATACTTAATTATTATCTTTATAAAAAATTATTATTATTAAACAAAAAATAAATTTATTCACTATTAGACCTGAATTAAGTTATAACAAAAAAATTGAATCAAAGAAATTACACAAAAAACGATAACTTTTAAATAATTAATTTGATAATAATATCGCTATTATTTTTTTTTCAAAATTTTAATTACAATATCTTCTAATTTATATTTTATTCAAAAATAAAAACATTACAACTTTCTCAAAATCATATAAAATTGTATTACATCAATAGAGAGAATAAAAGAAAACAATAAAATCGAGATGTATCTCGCTGCATTGTGTGAGTACCCTTCTAGTTAATCAAAATGCATAAAACATATAAACAACTCATTATGGGTAAATTAGTCATTTTACCACTCTTGTTCAGTTCAGCCCTGTCTTACCAAATGTTGAACAACTGTCATGTTCTGTCCCGCTGTGTCACACCAAACATCGAACAAGCATCCTTTTAACTTTGTCACACCAAACATCGAACAAGTATCCTGTTCAGTCCAGCTGTATTATCTAGGTACCAGATGCATCCTATATGATTAATAAATGGAGATTGTAAGTCGGCCGAGTCTATTCTTTGGGTGAGGGACGTCGATCCTTATCGACTAATTGTTGGGTTGTCGGATTGATGCAACGTATGTCTACAAAATCAGGTCTAACATACAAATGTCGATTCAAGACTTGGCTAATTAACTAGAGAAAACGCTACCGTCTAAGTTCGATTCTACATTTATAAATGTTGTGTATGTTGGTAAACTGAAAAATTCACTCAGACATTTCATCGAACACTTTATATGCATACGAAATAGACACTAACTTTAGCACCACTTACGATTGTTTAATTGTAGTACAATTAAAAGACTTAAAATATGAACAAGTGTATGCATTGACAACTCAAAGACTTAAACCTCAAACTCAAAAAATGCTTAAAATCCCACACAAGTTTCAAGACTAATTGACGAGGCGTAATCGAACATCGGTTTCAACGTTAATTTATTTGATCGGAAATAAGGTTAAGTGACCTACGACCGACCCGTTTTAGTTCAAAAAAATTTATGTTGTAGATGTTCGTTGATTTATAAGAAGTCACTTAAAAATATGTTCGATAGGCCAAGGGGAGAACCTATGAATCCATAAGCGGGGTCCTCTGCACTTAGGGCTGTAAACAAACCGAAGGAACACGAACGGAGGCTTGTTAATGTTCGTTCGTTTAACTTAACCGAATAAACGAACGAACACGAACGGTAAACCAACGAAAATCTTTGTGTTCGTGTTCGTTCGTTTAGAAATCAGGTATGTTCGTGTATGTTCGTTCGTTAACATGCTAAACGAACGAACATAAACGAACGTGCTAAATGAACATAAATATTATTTGAATTCAAAGTATATAAACAAAAGATTATACATTAAATTTAGTATATGAATGAACATAAACGAACGGTAAATGAATGAACGTTCATGAACATAAATGAACGAACGAGACTCTTGTTCATGTTCGTTCGTTTAACTAAACGAACAAAAAAAATTGTTCATGTCCGTTCATTTATCAAATAAACGAACTTCCCGCCGAATGGTTCACGAATGAACGGACATGAACAATTTTTTTTTGTTCGTTTAACTAAACGAACAAAAAAAATTGTTCATGTCCGTTCATTTATTAAATAAATGAACTTGCCGCCGAACGGTTCATGAATGAACGAACATGAACAATTTTTTTTGTTCGTTTAACTAAACGAACAAAAAAAATTGTTCATGTCCGTTCATTTATTAAATAAATGAACTTSCCGCCGAACGGTTCATGAATGAACGAACATGAACAATTTTTTTTGTTCGTTTAACTAAACGAACAAAAAAAATTGTTCATGTCCATTCATTTATTAAATAAACGAACTTCCCGCCGAACGGTTCGCTGAACGTTCGGTTCGCTTACAACCCTATCTGCACTTGCTCAATTTATTTTGCCAAGTAGAATCTTTTCGGTATAATAAAAGATACAACGAACATGAACCAAAAACCCGAAAAAAGTTCCTTTAAATCAGCCAAAAAACCCTTTGAAAAACTCCCTCGAAATCTAGAAAAGAACTTGAAAAACCGCTCGAAACATTGGAAATTCGACTAAAAACACATCATAACGACGTTTTCAAGTTGTTAATCCACCTTAAAGATACACCCGCTTAGCAAAAATTCCGAATCCCGTACTGATTTTACGATACGAAAGTAATTCAAAATGGTAAGGAACTAAGTTGACAACTAAACTAGAGTGTGCCCTAATCAAGATCATATATTGAAAGAGTGCATGGCAAGAAGTCAACACCCCCCTTTACAAACCCTATAAAACTCCCAATCCATTCTCTCAATCTTCCTCACAATCTCCAATCAGAACAAACCCTAATTTCAAAAACCCTAATCAACCCTTTTGAGATCTCCATCTTCCCCCATTGATCATCATGAAGATTATGCAGATAATCTTCATGGTAACCATCACCATCACCATGATCACCATGGCCATCACTCTCACCACCACCGCCACCACTACCGCCACCACCGCCATCACTGCGACACCATTTCCCAAGAGGCCTCATAGCCGTTTCTTGGCCGAGAAAGAGCGAAACCCTAGGGCTGCGGATCACTGCAAAGACGACGACACTGTTTGTTATATCTTGGAAGGCAAGAACTCTACATGTTGCAATAACAAGTGTATGGATTTGACCCAAGATAGACACAACTGTGGAGCTTGCAAGAAGAAGTGCAAGTTTACGAGCTCGTGTTGCAATGGGGAGTGTGTGAATTTGGCGTACGATAAGAGGAATTGCGGGTCGTGTGGCCAAAAATGCATGCCGGGTGGTTATTGTATATATGGTCTCTGCAACTATGCGTAAATCAACATGATACTGTTCGATCTCGATCTTGATTAATTCGATATTCCGTTAAATTATTCGTGCATATATATGCTATCAATAAAGACCATTTTCGTCATGGTCGATCAACACGAAAAATTGTTGTTAATTCATATTTATTACTTATTTACGTGTCATTTTCAAGATTTCCCAAAACGAGAAATTGTAGTAATGATGTTATTGTGAAGTCGTTGTTCAAAGGGTTTGGGCCAATTTTGCTCAATTTTGAATTTTATTTTTCGTGTTTATTCTTTTGCGACGGATGTTTCGTTAAAGCAACGGACGATGGTGTCGCAAATAAGCAATCTTTTGTCGTGAATTAAGAAAATATGGCGTGCAATTGTTGTTCAATCTTTGCTTTATTCCAATTTGAAGATTTCACATAGAAAAATGGTCGGCAATGACCACGTTGTTTCTTGTAAAACACATTTTGGAGGTGGTTTTTTTTAAATTATAAATGTATATTAATTTTTTTGTTATCTATTTATTAATACATTCTTACGGGTCGTTTGTTTACCTCTTAATAGTTTTATTAAGAGGCAACATTGAATTGTTAAGAGGTGAATCTTGTTTGACAAAATAAGTTTGACTCTTAATAGTTCAAAAAATTATTTGAATGATTTTGTATCATGGGTTTTTGTTAATCATTTAACGCCCTAATTTTATTGTAAACAATTATCAAATAGTTATATTTCATTCAACAAATAATACTGAGTTGGATACCACATTACTCGCCACATCAGCATGGTAACCGGTTAATGCTTCAATCGTTTACCCGAATACTTATATATTTAAAACTTTACATCTTAGGTTTTAAAATAAAAGTTATGGAAGTAGTTACCCAAAATAGGAATCAAGTTAAAGTACGTTACTTTTTCATGCAATTTGCATTTCTTTTTTCAAATCAAATTTTAGAAAATTCTATGTTTATCAAACACTTACCCGGTAAGCGCTTACTGGTAATATTTAACACTATCACTTACTTACTGGGTAAAATTTTAGTCTACCAAAACGGTATCGTATGCAACAATTCACCTGGTAAGCCATTACCTTGGTAAGAGTCATCACCCTCACTTACCGGATAAGACTCTTGGTCTTTATCTTGTTCTTACCGGGTAAGATTTTTGGTACTTACCATATTCATCCAGTAAGATAATGTGATTTGGTGTTCACTTACTCAAGTAAGCGTTTGGTAAACGACCCTTAAATCTATTGTTTTCTTGTTTTCTTTATGTTAGAAAATAATACATAGAATTTGTTGAAGCAAATTAGAGAACATAACCTTTATTTTTTCTATTATAGAGAATATGTTGAGATGTTTTTTATAAACATATAGTTGAAGGGAAATTTGTGTAATAAACCTATAGTTGAAGGGAAAATAATGCAATAAACCTATAGTTGAAGGGGAAATAATGCAATAAACTATAGTATAAGGGAAATATTTGCAATAAACTTAAACTAAATGGGTTATTACTATAAACATCATCAAAGACGTTTTGTTGAATTCCCCTCTTCTCTTAAACCCAAAACCCCATTTCCTACCCCCAACCGTCTCTTATCTAATGATTACGTCACTCTCACTACTAGCTCGAATTCCTCTCTCGCCAACTAACGACGGTTCTGTTAGTAGTCGGAGTTTCACTCGCCGGCGATCCATCGTTTTTCCGTCGAAGCAATGGAGGTGTTCAGTTTCTCCCGGCCAACCGCATCCGCCGAAACAGCGGCAGCGTCAATTCAAGAACACAGAAGACGGAGAAAAAGGAGTCGATCCTGTTGGATTTCTTTCTAAATCTGGAATTTCGCACAAAGGTTTCGCTCTTTACCTCCGTGAAAGGTATTTAACAAATTCGATGGAAAATTCGAAGTGTTTTTGGTTTTTGATTTTTGCTTGCAAAAACATTCAGAAGATGCGTAAATTTCACTTTTTTTGTCGTCTTTTCATCTGGTTTTTTTAGTTGGGTATTTTGTTGTTTAATGATATGTAATATATTTAGTGTAAAAAATGAAATTTTTATTACTGATCGCAAAATCTTGGTTCTGGTAGAACATTGGGTTCCCCCTAAATTTGATAGGAATTAAGTTTTATAGGATCAATTACTTGTAAGTGGCTGTTTGGTTTGTTTTCCATTAAGTTCTGTACGGATAAAGCTATATGTGAGAACTAATCTGTCATTATATATCAGGTTTTTGTTTGGGAGTGGTTATTGATAGATGGAAGGGGATTGTCTTTTAATTGGGATGGGAATGGAAGGAGATTGTTTTTTAATTGGGATGGGAAGGTTTGGGAAAAATGGCTTTCTGCATAAAGCTCCTCCTAGTTTACTGTCATTAAGCCACTACCATAACTTACTGAATTAGCTGTAAGTCCCATTAAGCTCATTAAGCTGCTACCAAACAAGACCTAAATTTGCTACAATGTTATAGGATTTAAGTTTATTTAGGACAATGTTGAAATAAAACGTAAAAAGTAATCTTTCTATACGATATTAGTTGAAAAAAGAAGTCTTGAAATATGTGTTTACAGAATGATTCTAAAAAATGTCGGCATAAGAAAACTAACAACAAAAATATGTCCTAAAAGACTGGTGAGGATGGCCCTTGAGATCCTATCGTAACACCACAATTGTTTGATTATATATATAGACTTAAGTCCTGTAAAGCGGTCTATTAGGAGTTTAGGACATTTAAACATCTTTGACGTACTGTAATTCCAAATCTTTTTAGTGTTTAGTTCTTTTATATATGTTTTGGGTCATCATTCGTTATGAATTACAGATATAAATCTCTCAAGGATCTAAAAGACGAAATCTTGATGCGCCACATTGATTTCAGAGACATGGCTTCCGGGTTAGTATTACAATACAATTTCTTCATCTTTATGTGCTTTTTGCTAAATACGAACAAAAATTAAATAAATTTATATCAAATAAAGTAATTATATGTCTTCACGTGATTGATGGGTCATGGGATTTGGACGAGATCGTTATTTTGTTAAATATTGTTGGTTGATTATAGTGGTCATTTCTGATAGAATTCGTCATTTGTTGTATTAGTTTTTTTGTTGATCGTTTCTTTTGTATTCTTTGTACTAGATTTGAATTGTTAGGAATGCACCGCAACGTGCAACATCGAGTGGATTACATGGAGTGGGCCCCAGGTTTGGCATCATACTGCGATCAATACATCTTTGAATATCATGATGCATTTGTTAATTATCATACTTTCCAAAATGGTGTCTTCCCCTAAATTTGCTAGTTTTTTGGACGATGAGTCGCATAACGGAACTTCGTTAGGAGGTTTACTCTTCCAACATCCCTACTTTGGCTCCACCTGTATAAAGCGCTACGACAAAATTGGTTTTATAAGACGCTATATTATGTCTAAGGGCCTGTTTGCTAGCAGCTTAATAAGCTTAATGAGACTCTCAGCTTATTCAGTCAGATATACATGACTGTTTGGTAGTGGCTTAATGATATAGAAAGTGCCTTATTCAATAAGCTTTCTAAAGGGGAGTGCAGAAAGCCAAGTTTTTTTTTTCCAAACATGCCCCCCTCGAATTCAAAAACACGCTCCTTCCATCTATGAAAATCCCTCCCAAACAAAAATCTGCTCAATCTATACAGACAGATTAATCCCCACAAACAACTTTATCATATAGAACTTAATAGAAAACCAACCAAACAGCCCCTTAGACATTTTTGGTGTACTATACAGCCAATTTTATTGGAGTGAAGCTATGTATTTATTTTAATGTTGGAAATGAAATCAGGTGCACGCTACTGTGCGGTTGTTGGAGACTTCAACGACTGGTCTCCAACTGAAAATTGTGCACGAGAGGGTCATTTCGGGCACGATGATTATGGTTATTGGTTTGTCATTCTTGAAGACAAGTTAAGAGACGGAGAAGATCCTGATGAGCTCTACTTTCAACAGTACAATTATGTCGATGATTATGATAAAGGCGACAGCGGTGTTACTGCTGAAGAAATTTTCAAGAAAGCAAACGACGAATACTGGGAACCCGGAGAAGACCGGTTGATAAAATCACGTTTTGAAATCGTGGCCAAGTTATACGAAGAGATTTTTGGACCAAACGGGCCTCAAACAGAAGAGGAATTAGAAGATATACCCGATGCTCGGACAAGATACAATATGTGGAAAGAACAACATAAAGATGATCCACCCACCAATTTACCGGCGTATGATGTGATTGATAGCGGAAAAGAATACGATATCTTTAAAGTCATCGATGACCCTGTTTCACGAGCAAAGTTTCGTGCTAAAAAACCTCCGATTGCATATTGGCTCGAGACTCGTAAAGGAAGGAAAGCATGGCTAAAAAAGTATGCACCTGCTATCCCTCATGGAAGCAAGTATAGAGTGTATCTTAACACCCCTAGTGGACCTTTAGAACGGATTCCGGCTTGGGCTACTTATGTGAATCCCGGTACCATATTCGTTAATAGTTCTTCATTTTATCGGGTTTTTGGTTACGTTTTCTGATATGGGTTCTTGTCGGGATTTAATGATTATGTAGAGGCTGAGGGAAACCAAGGATATGCAATCCATTGGGAACCTCCTCCTGAAGATGCATATACATGGAAACATAAGAATCCGAAGGTTCGAAAGACTTTGCGTATATATGAAGCACATATTGGTATTAGTGGATCAGAGCCAAAGATCGCGTCTTTTAGGGAGTTCAAGGAGAAGGTTAATTGCTCTTTCGTTGTATTTGTTGTTTTGTGTTGTAGGGGTAGGTTCATATGAATATTTTGAGAAAATGAGAACCAATTATTCATGTTTTATTCATAATGAAGATACATGATATTCATGATTATTCATCATGAATAATACATGAAATATTTGGTTCCGAGGTTTTCAAAATATTTATGGTTCTCATTTGAACTTTCGTCTTATATAGTTATATTGTGATATCGTCTTTTGATTCATAGTTTTCTTTATCTCTTTTCTTTTTACATTCATTTCCTTTAGCTTCCTCTTTTTGGGATGCCTAACAGCATCTTGTAATGATAGGTTCTCCCTCATGTTAAAGAAGCTGGATACAACGCAATACAGTTAATCGGCATTGTGGAGCACAAAGATTATTTCACCGTTGGTTATAGAGTGAGTTTGATGTTCAACTTTTCGTTTTTTAGATTTCCATTCAACTTATCTGTTGATTTTATGAAACTATTCAAAATTCTCGACTCGTTTGGTAAGAATTATGAGGCTGCCGGTGCCAATGCAGGTAACCAATATGTTTGCCGTCAGCAGTCGATATGGGACACCTGAAGATTTCAAGCACTTAGTTGATGAAGCACATGGTTATTATTGGGATATCATTTGATGCATAAACATTATAATCGATTCTAGACCTTGCATTAGCCTTATAAAGAAAGGGGAGGTTCCTACATATATACAGGTTTGATGGTTTCTGTCTAGCCGATGTGGGGCTGAAGATGCCCCCTCTAACTGAGGCTAGACAGTGCCTAAGAGTGTGTCGAGTCCTTAGATGTGGTAGACTCTAGCTCTCATACCATGTGATTTATGTGGATACCCTTTGAATCTCTTTCTAAAAGAGCCTTTATAGAGAGAAAAGGTTCCTATATAAAATAGAAAATAATGAAAAACTGAGGAACACCCTGGTAACCACTCATCTGTACAGTATGCACATGTGCATACAAGTAATTGAAGTTGTTAACTTGGTTTTTATGCACGCGTGCATGTTATGCACATGTGCATATTCCGGACAAATTGATTACAAATTACTTGTATGCACATGTGCATACTGTCACATGAATGATTACCAGGGTGTTCCTTGGTTTTTCATTTTTTTACGGTTTTCTCGTGAACCTGACCCTCTGCATATATATAGGTTTGATGGTCCATGTCTAGCCAATGCGGGGATCCAATACGGACCTGTGTCTAGTCCCTAGATGTCGGCTCTGATACCATGTGAATGTATGTGGAACCCCTTTGAATCTCTCTCGAAAAGAGCCTTTACAGAGAGAAGAGAGGTTCCTACATATAAACAGACATGTTTGATGGTTATTGTCTAACGATGTGGGACTCCAACAATGTCAACGTATTTCATTATGATAAGATGGATTTTTTATTTATTTATTTCTCTTGATCTTTCTTATGAACCAGGACTTGGATTGCTCGTCTTCATGGACATCGTTCATTCTTATTCGGCTGCAGATGAGATGGTTGGATTAGCTCTTTTTGATGGATCAAATGACTGCTATTTTCATACCGGTAACACATTTAAAAGGATTCTATTGGAAACCCGTCACTTTAATGTTATTTGAAGTGTGGTTAAGCGGATGGATTAGCAAATATGCTTACTCATTTTTGTATCTATATTTTCTTGACTCATTAGGTAAGCGAGGACACCATAAGTTTTGGGGTACAAGAATGTTCAAATATGAAGATCTTGATGTCCTCCATTATCTTCTCTCGAATCTAAATTGGTAATAGCCAATTACTTTGGGTCGTTAAATATTGTTTCTTCTCTTTTACCACAGTGTTAGAGTCTCACATCAACTAGACTTAGACCATTTGTCCTCGGTATATGTGGTACATCCATCTCTCCTCAAGGGCTCTTTTCGAGAGTAGTTTAATGGGGTTCCACATATTCGCACATGGTATCAATGCCAAGGTGTATCATTCTAGGGACTATGACACTGTGGCAATCTATACCCGTCTAGCCCCCTCTCGACACTCTGGGCAACCTATACCAGTCTAGCCCCCTCTCGACACTTTAGAGCAAGCTATACCTCTCTAGCCCGACAATCTATACCCATCTAGCCCCCTCTCTCAACACTCCGTGGCAACCTATACCAGTCTACCCCCCTTTTGATGCTCTTGAGCAATCTATACCCGTCTAGCCCCCTCTCGAGAGTCTGGAGCAATCTATACTTGTCTAGCCCCCTTTCGCCACTCGGGGGCAATCTATACCCGTCTAGCCCCCTCTTGACACTCGGGGGGGAATCTATACCTGTCCAGCCCCCTCTCGACACTCTGGAGCAATCTATACCTGTCCAGCCCCCTCTCGACACTCTGGATAATGTACCTGTCTACCCTCTGATGGAGGGGGCGTGCTAGAATCCTACATTGGCTAGACTTGAATCGTTTCTCCTCAATATATGTCGGAACCACCCTTCTCTCGTAAAGGGATCTTTTGGAGAGTAATCTAATGGGGTTCCACATATTCTCATGCATTATAATGCAATTTACCAATTATATGATCTTTTCCACCTTGTGATTTAGCCTTTTTTTGATCTCTCTATATGGAGACATTTTTACAGGTGGGTAGTTGAATACCATATTGATGGTTTCAATTTCCATTCTCTTGCATCAATGATGTATACGCACAACGGGTTTGCTTCATTTACCGGTGATATGGAGGAGTAAGGCATCAATAATCTTGGTGTTTCTGATACAAGTTTGCTATTCACATGTGAATAGGTTGGCTAACCATTCGTTTCCCATTGTTTCAGGTTCTATAACCAGTATGTTGACAGGGCCGCGTTATTATATCTCATTTTGGCAAATGAGATATTGCATGATCTTCATCCAAATATAATAACCATTGCGGAAGATGTAAGTAACCAAAAGTTTGTGCTTTATGAATCTTGGCGATACAGAAACGTCATTTTTTGGATTGATTTCCTAGGCCACGCTTTATCCTGGATTATGTGAACCTACTTCTCAAGGTGGGTTGGGATTCGATTACTTTGTAAACCCTCGTGCATCGGAGATGTGGTTGTCGTTTCTAGAGAACGATCAAGATTCGAATTGGAGCATGAGTAAGGTTTGCACTACATTCGTGACCATGTCTACCTTGCTATTAACTCAAATTCCGTGCCTTTTTTTATTTAAGTTTTGGTCTTTGTTCTAGATCGTGAATACGCTCGTAGGGATCGGCAAAAGTTCGGATAAAATGCTTTTATACGCCGAAAACCACAACCAGGTAAATTTTTCTGGGTAACAACCTGTCCAACATGGGATAGAGAATTAGATCTGTGAGCTGGAAAAATTGTTTATATAACTTGTGAGTTTATATAATTTTTATATAAATATAAAAAGAATTTTAGGCCCATTAGCCTGTGGGCAAGCTCGACTCGTTTATAAGGATGTTATGGGCAAGTTTTCAAGCCCGTAAAAAAGGGCTTGGGTTTGCCATATTAGGCCCGTTGGACAAGAAAATAGGTTAGGCCCGGCCCAAGCCCGCAAATGAGGGGGGGGGGGGGTATTTTGTAACATCTTTGAGAACGCGGTAATTGGTCGTTTTTCTTATCTTAATATATAAGTTTATTGGCAGTCCATATCCGGAGGGCGGTCTTTTGCAGAAATATTGTATGGTCGAGCCTTGAAGCAACCGTCAACCATGAATGACTCGTTGCTTAGAGGTTGTTCTCTACATAAGGTCGGTTTAGTAACTAAAAGCCTTAAAAAGACGAACATGCTTAATTTTTCGTTTCTATACTTGATGTTTTTTCGTTGTTTAGATGATCAGATTAATCACCTACACAATTGGTGGTCGTGCTTACGTAAACTTTATGGGAAATGAATTTGGGCATCCAGAGGTGAGATTATCTGATCTTTCGATATTTTTCTTTTCCAAATACCCGATAAGATGCAAGTAACAATGAATGTTATTATGTTTGCTAGCGAGTAGAATTCCCGATGTCGAGTAACGGTTTTTCATTCTCGCTCGCTCACCGGCGCTGGGATCTAATCGAGCAAGAAGGGGTTCATAGAGATCTTCTTTGTTTCGACAAGGTATCTATTTTCTTGAACCCAAACTATTTTAAGTCATTACAACAAAATCGGCTTTATATGACACCAAGTATGTCTAAGGGGCTGTTTGGTTTTGCATCAAGTCCTGTGTCTGTGTGGATTAATCTGTTTGTAGAGATTGAGGAGGTTTTTGTTTGGGAGAGATTTTTCATAGATGGAAGTTGTGTGTTTTTTTTATTGGGAGAAGCAGGTTTGGAAAAAACTTGATTTTTTGCATAAAGCCCCCCTAAAGGCTTACTGAATAAGCCACTACCAAGTAGTCGTGTATAGTTGACCGAATAAGCCACCTTCTATATCATTAAGCCACTACCAAACAGTCATGTATAGCTGACTGAATAAGTTGTAAGTTCTACTAAGCTCATTAAGCTGCTAATAAACAGGCCTAAATAGTCTACTTTATAGTTCATAGGACATGTAAAAAGACTAATAAGACGCTTTATTTCAAAATTATCTTTAAAAACTTGTTAATACACCAAAAAACGTGCTATCAACTTACTTTAAGTCTATAACACAATTATATAGGATGCACAATTATTTAGTCCTATAAACTTAAGTCCTGATAGGCAATCTATTAAGACTCTTATACATATATAACGTTCTATAAAACCGATTTTATCGTACTGACTTGTAAAAATCGTATCTTTTACAGGACATGATGAACTTGGAAAACAAAGAAAGAATAATTTCGAGATGGCTTCCGAATATTCATCATATCAACGACGCTAATATGGTATGGACTAATGGTGATTGTATATTATGTTCCGAAGTTCTATCATCCGATATAAATATGAAACCTGATTCTTGCATACGGGTTTAGGTGATCTCATATTTACGAGGCCCGTTTCTCTTCATATTCAACTTTCATCCCACAAATTCATACGATAGATACAATGTCGGCGTGGAAGAAGCCGGAGAGTATCAAGTAAGATACCATATTTCTTTCTTGTTCCTTTTTTTTTAAATTTTCGGTGCCCGTTATCGTGATATCTTTGGTTTATATCGACACAGGTAATCTTGAACACAGATGAACGGAAGTACAGTGGTCAAGGATTGATAGAGCAGGATCAGTACGTTCGAAAAACCATGAGTAGAAGGTAAGCCAATGGCATGTTTTCGCTCTTAGGGGCCGTTTACCCGATGCTTACCGGTAAGAATCACCACTTCCACTTAACTTATCGGGTAAAATTTTAGTCTATTAAAACGACATCATATGCATCAAATTTATTCGGTAAGCGCTTAGCGGTAAGATTCGTCGCTCTCACTTACCAGGTAAGATTCTCGGTTCTTGTCATCGTTTTTTTAGCGGGTAAGATTCTCAATCTTTGTCATGTTTACCCGATAAGGTAAAGTGACCTAGTATGCACTTGTTGGGTAAACGTTTAGTAAACGGCCCCTTAGTTTGGTACGCAGGACAAAACAGTACAAAAAATTGTTGTCCCATGTGTTGCCTGACATTAAACAAACACAGGACCCGAGTGGGACAAAAATGCATTTTTTTTGTAGATTTGTTAATTACAAACTACTTGTGTCTTAAAGCTCTAAAAACCTTTCAGAGTTTTTTGACCCGCTTACCTCATCCTTGCCTGTCCAGTTCCATCTGAGGGTAACTCTTTCTAAAACCAACGGTTTTGTATTGCAGGGTTGACGGCATGCGTAATTGTTTAGAAATACCATTGCCGAGTAGAAGTGGTCAGGTTTATAAACTGACCCGAATCTTGAGAGTGTGAACATAGCGAGTATGTGATATACTTATCCGGGCCTTATGGGCCCGTAAATTTTGTTCGAATAGAAACGGGCCATTCGAGCATACGGGCATTTTATGCCAGTGTGGCAAATGCAAGTATTCACGAGGTACCGTTTTCTTTGGGTTATAAGTTTAGTGTACGATGTCGAACTTGTATTTAACAAACAAGTTTGTTGTAATATTATTCATTTTCTAGTGTTGAAGTTGAACATATATTTTTTTAATTTTCCGATTCAATCTTGTACTTCAAGGTACCGTTTGGTACCTGAACACAATTGGATTGACTGGATTAGACAAGACTGGACACGACAAGTTGTATGTCTGGTATTTGGTACGATTAGAACTGGACAAAACAAGACTTGTCAAGTTGCCTAAAAATGTTGTTTGATAATTTTAAATATTTAATTTTTTTTTTGTAATTTTTGTAATTCTGTTTTTATTATAATTTTTATTTTTTGTTTAATAATATAATTTTTTTAGAAAGATAATAATTAATATTTTGTTAGAACTCGATCATTATATCTTAAATATATTTTAGATTTTTTATATTTAAAATGAGATACATCAATAAATAGTACTTATCTGAATTCAAACATGGAGCTTTAATAAGTTCTACATTAACACAATTTACTTATAATCTTGAATTTTAAGTAACATGCATTAATAAACAATACCTAATTCATAAAAAAAATGGTTTTTAAAAGTTTTTATCAAATGCTTTATAATACAGTATAGATATATAAGCCCATACATAGATAAAATTAGGCTGCAAAATTTAGGATCCCGTTCAAAAACCCATATTTAACACGATATTAAATAGTTGTCTCCAAAAACTATTGCTAATTACGAAAGCAACTCAAGAATGGAGAAGTGTAAATCTTGAGGGTAGAATGTGATTCTTTCTTTGAGATGTAAGTTTAGGATGAACCTGAAGCAATACCAAAGTAAAAACCTGCAACAATGGCAACTAATTAACCCCATCATCAATTCCTCCATTTTTCAACTATTCTCTTCTTTCTTCTTTAATCATTTCAAATCCGCAATTTCTTCGAAACTTTTGGCGAAAAAAACCCGGAAAAATGACACCTTTTCTGTGTATGCTTGTAATAGCCGAAATGGTCGTGATCCTGATCCTCTTGTTTAGGACGCCGTTAAGGAAACTAGTGATGGTTGTGATGGATCGTTTGAAGGAGGGTCGAGGTCCGGTGATGTCGACGGTTGCAGCGACGTTGTTTGTGTTCTTGATGTCGACTTTGTATAGTATAATGAAGATTCAACAACGTTCGATGGAGAACGGAGCCGTGAATCCAACGGATCATGTTCTTTTGGCAAATCATATACTCGACGCGTCCTTGATGGGTACGTAAATTTAGTGTATCTGTCTTTTTCGTTTTTCTAATTGTTGTTGTTGTTGTTGTTTACTTTTTATCTGCTTTCGTTTTTAATTATGCATGTTTTTGAAGTCGTCGCACACATTTGAAAAACACTTGTGTGTCATGTCTAAAAGTATTGTAATAAGTTTATAGAACACTTTTGGATTTCTTAAGAAACTTTTCAGTACACATTTGAAACAAAATCTGCTATTAGCTTATTAAGAAATCCAAGTGGTTGATCCTATAAACTTAAGTCGTATAAAGTAGTTTATGTTCATCTTACCTCCAGACCCCACCTCTGAATGAAACATACTGCAATCCTTTTGGTTTTGGGTAAATGATGTGATTAATATGATGCAGGTTTTTGCCTATTTCTCGGATTGATGATCGATAGACTTCATTACTACGTCAAACGGTTTGATGATTCCGAAGGCATCAAACCCGTCAACAAAGCGAAGAAAACCTATGAAACATCGGACTCGGATTAAATCAACGTCAATGTAAATAAATAAGGGACTTAATGGAATCATACGACATTAATTTGATAGTCGTTTACGTTATTCGAGTGGCAACTGTATACATTTTCGTTAATTTCTCGTCAAGGAACGGAAAAGTAAAATGATTCTGAAAAACCGATTTTCGTTTGATTTTGTTATATATCGCATCTAAGTGAATAATTAAAACTACATTAATAATAATAATCAAACCAAATGAATCAAATATATCAGTTGGCAAAAAGGTGAGACAACTTTGCTTAAATACAAGACATGCCATCAGTACGATCAATCACAAACCCTCTATTTCTTATAAAATAAATACCCACTTTTAAAAATAAAATTATACTTTCCCATCTTACCCTTAGTTAGAAAATACAAGGAAACACAATAAATAACCAATAAGAACATCTCCAACAAATTATATGAATTAGAGAAGGGCAAACTGTATGAAAAAATAACGTACTTTAACTTGATTCCTATTTTGGGTAACGAACTTTCATTTTGGTACCTAAGATGTAAAGTTTTAAACATTTAAGAACCCCGATAACTAACTGGTCGAATCATTAACTCTTTATTCTAATAAAACACAATACATAAAAACTAATTTTAGATTAAGATATCCATGTCAACAAATAATACTGAGTTAAATACCACATCAACAGGTTACCTGGATACTTAAATGTTTAAAACTTTACATCTTAGGTACCAAAATGAAAGTTTTGAAAGTAAGTTACTCAAAATAGAAATCAAATTAAAATACGTTACTTTTTTATGCAATTTGTCAAATACATTTTTTGTTTTTTGTGATTATCATTTATTATCAAGGTTGGTTTCTTTTTCAAGCTAATTGATCACTATGGTTGTCATTTTATTTCACTTTTGGTCCCTATGTCCAACAGAAAAATAATTAAATTAATATAAAAAAAAAGCTCGACTTCAAAAAAGGTTGCTTTCCCTTTTTCCGAAAGAAGTAAAATCATTAAGCTTGGGTATTCTGTCTAACGAACCCTAATGCTTCAATCAGTGTTTCTCGAAACCTGTTTAAATTTAATCTCAGATCTTGTTTATCTAAATACATTGCTCGTGCAGCTTCGTATCCACCTTTGGCCGCCACAGAAGCCGTATCCGTAAGCACCGGATGATCGAGACCGTAGACATCAGCCAACGAACTCTCATCCGGTTTAATCCGGTACTCCAAATACCTCAAACCCATCCCAGGAGCCGGTTCGCTATAAAACGAATCGACGTCCCACTGGAACCCTAGTGGTCTCACTTGTACCATAACAGCCCCATCAGGCAGAAAAAGTTCATTAGCTAGCCCGGCCCCATGCGCCCCCACCATAACACTGCAAGAGTTAATCACACGGGAAAATTTCTCAACGTTGGACATCTCCTTCGCCGAACTAGCTATGATCACCCGAAACCCTAATTCCTCCATCAATTTCACCATTTCTGCTTGATTCAGGAATTTTCGTGTTGTTTGGCGAGAAATTAGAAGCAATAATGGAGGATTTTGTGTATCGAGAACGCTTCGTGATTTCAGTCGATAAGTTTGTCTGATGAATTCTCTGAAATCTGGCATTGAATAGTAACCCTGTGGATTTTCCGATGTGTTTACGCCTAGAAATTTGTGGAATTTTAATCCGGTTACAGCTCCCGGAAAGCAATGGACGGTTGAATCGATGGCTGGATTTATGATTTCGTGATCCGATAGGCGTGAAAAAACTCGTCTATATTTTCTAATGAATGAAGGTTTGTGATCAACAACGATGAAGTGTACGCGAGATCTGAAAAGGCGAGAAGTGATGAATAAAGGTATGATGTTTTCATTGAATTCATGGAATATGTTTCCGGTGTATCCACCAGATGAGAAGATCACGGCCGGGTGTTGGTGGTTATGATCGCATGTAGGTCGTGGTGGTTCGGTGGTTGTGATCGTTACCGGAGTGATGTCGTTGATGACGTATGGATTTTCTTGCATTGCGTATGGCCGGACAACGGTGGTGGTATTTTCCGTTTCCGATGTGAGGTTCAGATGCGATGGCTGAAGGTGGACTTGCATTGTGCTCATGTCTATCTTTACAGGTTTGTTTGCTACACAAACTAGCGACCATGAATTACTATCACAGGCAAAGCCTGTTGATTCAACTTTCGTTCGATCTTCACCTGTTTTAAAAAATAAATTTCAGTCAAATTTACGTGTAAACATGGCTTATCGTTTGTTTGTTAGCAGCTTGATAAGGTGAACGAGACTCACAATTTATTCGGTTAGCTATACATGACTTTTTTATAGTGACTATCATAAAGTGACTTATTCGATAAGTTTTTTTTTTCTAAACATGACACTCTCAATTAAAAAAATAAACTTCTTCCATTAACGAAAAAACCCTCACAAACAAAAACTTAATGAAAAACCAACCAAACAGCCCCCTCTGGGCCTATTTACTAGCAACTTAATTAATGGGCTCGGTCATGACCTTTTGGAAGTGGCTTAATAATATAAAAAAGTGACTTAATGATATATAAAATAGTTTATTCAATAAGTTTCTAGACGAGCACTATGCAGAAAACAAGTTTTTTCCAAAGAGGTCTCTTCTAATTAGAAAAACACCAAGTCCATCTATGAAAAAACCATCATAAACAAAAATCTTCCCAATCTATACAATATTTATCCACATAGGCAGTTTTAACGATATAGTATTTAATGAAAACCGACCAAAAAATCCCCTTAATTTTCTAAATGTATGATCATGCTCCACCTGTCTTTATGCATCTACTTCGCAGATTATATTAATTGTTTATTTAGAATGATGCTAATTTACTTACAGAATATGATTGCCTGCAATTTTAAACTCTAGTTATTCCTGGGAAACTTTTCAAATTAAATAACAACAAAAGAATGATTCTGTCAACGGTGTGGCCCATCTGTATAATATTGACATGGCATTAAAAGTAGACATTCATCTCTCTTGTTTCAACTCATTATGGCTTGCTGCGCCACTAATTTCAGTCGATTAGTAGCCGATTGGGTTTCATTTTCTTTAGAGCTAATTAAATGTAGAAGACAAGTTTATCTTAGATCACTAATCAGGTGCAAATGAGGCCCTGGTCTCAAACTTTGTATTTAGGTGACCTACCATGCATCCTTCATCATGATGATAACAAATTGACATGGATAATTGTAAATAATATTGGGAAATAACCAGAAGGATGGTGTATGTTTGGTTTGAGCTTGGCTCCAAAGGTCAAAAATACTAGGAGGTTACAGGTTCAAATCCAAGGAGGAATATAATTCCCCTTGTGGCCACAGAGGTTCTAATGCGGTGACTCCCGGCTATCTGCAAAGCAGGTGGCCGTCCTGGGATTAGTCGGCTCACATAGCGGGTTAGATATCCAAGTTAATAAAAAAAAATAGTGGGAACTTATAATCAAGCTCGTTGGCATCATGATTTTAATTCATCACAAGTTTTGATATACAATTAAGAAATATATGCAGAATGCAGGTATAGGGTACGTTCTGAAAAAGTGGAGAAGTGGATGAGGTTCTGTATGCAAAGGAAAAATCCAAGAAATGCAGGTATTCCTTTTCTTTTGCATGATCATGTTGCATGAAACAATTATCCTGCTACCTGATCTCAGTGCTTTTGTATTGCTATATGCATATCTATTACGACAGAATTAGGTTAAATCATACATTGAAAATATAAAAAGTAAGTCTTGATGTTGATTTGTGTTGAGGAAGAAATTATTAGGTAATGATGCATTTAACAATATATAGGGGTACATTTAGCTTACCCCTGCTTCTATATACCTTCGTTAGGTGTGTGTGTCATTCTCAAAAACTGAAAATACGAATCTAATTATCTCACGTATTTCTAAGTTCCATTATACGAGAGTAGACTCTTTTGAAGAGAGAGAGAGAGAGAGATACCTCCTACTAGTCTTGTTAAAAGATATTGGAGAGATTGGTGTTGATCATCCTTCTTAACTGCACTGCTTAAATCAGTCTTCCATTCCGACAAGATTTGCCTCCCTGTAACTACATTTTCGTTGCAAATTAACATTAGTCTACACAAACTTTGTGCATAAATGTATAGTACTTTGTGCATTAAAAATTGTTTATAAGACTTTTGATAAATCTGGTTTATAAGGTAGTATAGATATGATCCGATTCTGTTATAATACGTATGCATATAGCAGCGTTAATTGCGAAATTAACACTAACACTATCCTAAACACAAATGATACAAAAGAGCAGGAGGAACATTAATGATGACTGATTTAAGAGAACTTACATTTGATTTTGTGAGATGGGGTAGCCTTGAAGTCAAAAACCTCAACATATATTAAATGAAGAAGGAAAAAGGCACAAAGTGTTTGAGTTGAAAACAAAATCAGCCTCCATCCTGTTCCCTTCATATTTCCAAGACTTGTCTCTCTTTTTGAACCATATACTTATGCTATACTATTTGGTGTTTCATTAGCTTATATTACTCCCATCATATATATATATATATATATATATATATATATATAACATTGCATATGCCACAGTTGACCTAACATATGAAGACTTTTTCCTTCCTTCTTTCTTTAATCTTTTTCCCAAACACATGGGATTACAACTCAATTGATTGTTCTTTTATTCATGGAAAAGACCTCATACATGATAAGACTAGTTTACCCCTACTTTTGTTTGTACGTACATCTCTAACCCAACATTAGAAACAAAAAAATGGAAGTGTTTTTATCTCAAACCCAACACTAAAACACTAAAAAGGTAAAGGTCTCCGAACGTAGCCTCCATAGTGAAGGTTAAAAAAGATGGCTTCTATAAATTGAATACTAATATAATATCAAGTTCTTATAATTATATATATACACTTGGGATCATGTGAGACCAAGGTTTTTCGTGAGACCCGTAAGAACAATTCTCAATCCTTGGATTAAATCTACAATATGAACATTCATAATCACAAAATTGCCACGAGACTTTTCAATAATCACAAAATTGTCACCGTGCAACTTTAGACCATTAGATGATTAGCTTATAAAGTTGATCAATGAACATAAATTGGTCTTACGGGTTTCACGAAAAACTTTTGGTCTCACGTGAATCCAACTCTCTCTCTCTCTATATATATATATATATAACATTAAGTTTTATAAATTCATTATGTATTTTATTATTATATTAAAAAAGGTTTTTAGTGTGTGGTTGGAGTTAACCTCTACCATTTTGTGTTTTTAGTGTTTTATTTTTATCGGTTAAAATAGAGATGGTCTAAACAACTACAGTTGTTTATTTATAGAAATATGCTAAATGCATTCGTACCTATTAATTAATTTCTTTCTTTTCAACACTCTCTTTAATTAATGTGCCAAATCAGCTATACTTCAAATCGTAGACGACTCCCAAAATTGTAAATTAGATGGATGGAAAGACTAGAAGACACATTTAGAGCAATTGGATGTAACTAGGACGAACCTACTTTTGACGGTGCGGACCACCATCTCATGGTTCTATCGTAGTGAAAAATGGTAGACGAGACGGCCCCTAGTTTATATTGTAAAAAATTCAACCTTCAATACATCCATATGTCAAATTCAAAAGATTGGCGAGTGGAATTCAATGAAAGGACACGGTTTAATTAAGAAGCTGATAACATATATATAGTCAACTTCTATAACGTGAAAGAAACCTGTTAGATGCACTAATTTCCCGGATGGAAAATACAAAGCTTTGATCTTTCACCAAAAATAAAGAAAACTACATCATCAAGTATTTGACTATTCTAAGATCTTTAATTTAATAATATAT